GGCGTTGAGAGGACATTAGTTTGTTAATATGATAGTTGCCAGTTTGAGCCCAAACTTGACAACAATAACTAAGATGATATGAAAATAATGCATTATAAATATTTAAAAGAGTAACTTTATCGACATAATGTCAAATTACTGAAAGCATACCATTTGCACGATTAAGTTTCTTGCGCAGCTCATCAATTAACACACCAAGATATTTAATAACTCTTGAGGAATATAGTTGTTTATTATTTATTTTGATTTTAATTTCAACGGTGTTACAGCTTTTTCTGTTGTTGTTAAAGTTTTTTCTAGATGAAAAAAAAATTAGTTCAATCATTTTGATGTTAAGACATATTAGGTTGGCATTTAACCAATGAACTATACCTTAAAGATCTGAATTTATATTTTTACATAGAAAATAGTATGATTTGTTGACATGTAAGAGATAGGTATCATCTGCAAATAGATTAACCGACGAGAAGTGAACAGAGTTATTTAGATCATTAATGTAAATTAAAAACAAAAGAGGACCAAAAACAGAACCTTGCGGAACACCACATGTAACACGTTTGTTACTAGAAGTATAACCATTAATACTTACATATTGTTTCCAGTCCAAAAGATAAGATCGAAACCAATCACTTACAACTCCACGAATTCCATAATGTTCTAACACGAATTCCATAATGTTCTAAGAAATCAAAATGCTATGATCAACGGTATCGAAAGCTTTTTGTAAATTGATAAAAACACCACAAGCAAAATGACCAGTATCAAGAGCTTTTCTAATTTTTTCAGTTATACTTAACAGTGCATGGCAGGTAGAATGGTTTGATCAAAAACCAAATTGAAACTCATTTAAACAGTTAAAAGAGTTTAGAAAAGAGTACACTCTAGAATACTTCATTTTTCAAGAAGCTTACTAATGTTAGATAAAAGAGAAATAGGTCTATAGTTAGTACATAAAAGTTTATAGTCGTTTTTTGAAAACTGGAATAATACAAGATAATTTTAAAATATCAGGAAAAGTTCCATTCATGAATGAGATATTAAATAGTTTAGAGAGAATATTTGAAAATTCGTAGTTAAAATCAATAAGAATGTTTGTAGGAATACTATTTGGACCTAATGATTTTCTCGGCTTCAATTTAGATATAAGAAATGAAATTTTAGGAATGTTTGTTGGAGATAATAATAAGTAGTAGACTATGTAAGAGTAGACTATGTAAGTTTGGATATTTAAGATACTTTTGATAGTTAATGTAAGACGAATGAATATTGAATTTAAGTTTATGAGCAACATTTGTAAAAAAAGTGTTTCAGAGATTAGAGTCGGTTCAGTTAAATATCTATTATTATCTTGTAAACAGTTGGGAGATGAGCATTTACAATTTTTTACATTTATTAGATTAGTAATGCCTTTCCAAATTTCGCAAAGATTTTTTATATTATCTGAAAATATGTTTTTAAAATGGATTTTCTTGCTAAGTTTAATTAAAGTAATTATCATGAATTTATATCGCTTAAAAATAGTTTTAAATGTGTTTATATTTATTAAATCTTTTGATCTTAACATTTTTTTTTTTTTTAATTGCGTATTTGAATAGATTTTATGATTCATTTTGTAATCCATGGTTTAAATCAATGTTTGAAGCTCTTAATACTAGTCTTTTTGAGTGGGGCATAGCGATCCAAATTCGATGTTATTTCAGTAATAAACTTATGGAAACAAGAGTTAGTGTCACTGTTTTTATAACATCATCCCAATCACCCTTTAATAAGTCAGATCTAAAATTTTCTTTATCAAAGTTTTTAAATTTTCTATGATATAGTTTGACTCCGTAGTATAAATAATTTGTTGAAATTGGGACAAATACAAAATTGAGGTAGGTGATCAGAGACAGAAGTTGTCAAATTTCCAGAAATAATATCATTAGTTATTAAATTAGAGAAAATATTGTCAATAATTGTAGCAGAGTGTTCAGTAATTCTTGCTGGCAAAGTAATAAAAGGGCGAATATTATAAATAGTAAGTAAGATTAAAAAATCACAGGTCGCAATGTCATTACTTGATTGTATCAAATCTATATTAAAATCAACCAATAAGAGAACAGATTTATTTTCAGCAGATATTTTTAGAAGTAATGCAGATATTATATTATTGAAAATATTTATGTCCATGCAAGGGTGTATATAAATGCACCCAACAATAATATTGGATTTTTTGGAAAAAATTAATTCAACAAAAGTAGAAACATAGTCATTAATTTGGTTACAAATTTTATTCAAATGTAACAATGGAAAGATGTTTGTAGACAGAGGTAAATCGTCATTTATAATAATTTTATTAGAAGAAAATAATAATTTAAGTTCGTTATCTGGTACATCTGTGAATGGAAATATACTCTTAGTGCAATTTACACAATGTTGCATTTAGCGACCTAATTTTAATAAATTCCACCCAGAAACATTGAGCCTGTTGCATTTTGTATGAGTCCAAAATGAACAAATCTCACATTGAATTGATCAGCAACTGAGACTTTTTTTTTTTTTACACAAATAGCAATTTAAAGCCATAGTAGAATAATGAAAATGAATAATTTCTGCAATAGAATAAAGAATGTAAGAGATATTATGTAGGAAATAATAATAGTAGCTATGGTAATAATAATCGTAAAAACCAAACAGCAACAGTAAGTATGATTATTAGGAAGAATAGCAAATTAACTTAAAACAAAAACAGTTATAATAAGTAATATTAACAATGGTATTATTAACAATAACACAATGTTCAAACAAAATTTTGATTAAAATTATATGATTTAATTAAATTATATGATTTAAATAAATATAAAATTTAATCAAGTTTAACAGAAATGTAAATTAATAATAAAGTAATAATTTAACTATATATTTTATAAAATAATGTAATTAATAAATAAACTGATAATCAAGTTGTTAAAGAATAATATAAATATATATGTTATGAAATAGTAAAAATAAAATAAAATGTATAAAATAAAATAAAATAGTAAAAATAAAATGAATAAGTAGTAATCTAATATAAAATAAGTATCTAATACAAATAATAATTAAGATAGAATAAAAAAACGATAATTAAAACAAAGACTAGCTACAAAAATATCTTTTAATACTTGATCTTTTCTTTCTTCTCTTCCGCTTTTTTTTGGTTTCTTGTGTTTTTGTATCTTTTTCTTTTCTTTTTTCTTTTTTATCTTTTCTTATAGTTAAATTTAGGTGATTAAAAATTCGAATTTTTTTTTGTCTATTCTTTTTAAAGTTTATATGACGTAAACTCTTTCCTACTCCTTTTTATTTGGATTTTTTTCGCCTTTTTTTAAAATTATATGCACTTAATTATTATTATTTCTTTCTTTTTAAAATTTCTTACTTTATTTACTGATTTGATTTGTTGTTTAGTTATTAAAATTATTGTTTAAATTTCTTTTTTCTTTTTTCTTTCATCTTACTTATGAAAACACATCTGCCATCATTGAAGACACTCCAAGGATCATTGAATCATTGAGCCTGTATATATATGTATATATATATATATATATATATATATATATATATATATATATATATATATATATATATATATATATATATATGTATATATATATATATACATGTATATATATATATATATATATATATATATATATATATATATATATATATATATATATATATATATATATATATATATATATATATATATATATATATATATATATATATATATATATATTATACATATGTCTTTCATTCAAAATATTTTTAAGGGGCCTTCAAAATTGATTCAGTCTTGGGCATTTTAGGGTGTAAGGCCCTGTTTTGCATAAAATACCTTTTTCATATTAGATTGTTAATTAATATAAATTGTTATATATGTATAAATGATTTAAAAAAACAACAACATAGAGTCCCTTTAAATAGGGATCCAATTTGTGCCTAAGCAGTATATAAGCATAAATATTAGTTTAGTAAATATTAAAATTTCAAAGTTTTTTCAGTTTGCTCATCTAGAAGTTTAGTTGATTAAGTTCTTTATATTTTAGTGTAAAAAAAAGTATTAACGCAAGTGCATTTTTTGTTGCTTTAAGTGAAACAAAATAAATTTACTTTTCTTAAAATTCACGGTTTTTTAAAATCCATTTACACTTTCTATTGCGTTATAGTGAGGTTTTAAAATCTTTATTTGTTGTGTTGTCTTAATTAAATATGGAATAATCTGCATATGTAATCACTGTAAGTGTTGATTATAAGTTGTTAATAGCAAGAGGATCTTTAATGTGATTACTTCTTTACTTTGAAAATGGAATATTGTGTTTATAATCTATTATTATTATTTTTTAATCTAAATATTAAATATATATATATATATATATATATATATATATATATATGTATATATATATATATATATATATATATATATATATATATATATATATATATATATATATATATATATATATATATATATATATATATATATATATATATATATATATATATATATATATATATATATATATATATATATATATATATATATATATATATATATATATATATATATGAAACCCTCGGAATTAAGAAAAATGAGGTTGGCAATAATTTGTCGACTTCAAACATTTTAAGGTTGGTAGTTAAATTGACTTTAATTCCAAGGGTCGTATATATATATACATATATATATATATATATATATATATATATATATATATATATATATATATATATATATATATATATATATATATATATATATATATATATATATATATATATTAATAAAATTTAACAGAAAATCAGTGTTTTTTAGCGAAAACAAAAGTTTGCAGTAAAAAAACATTTAAAAAAAAAGGAAAAAAGGTTCTTAAATTTTAATATATATTATATATAATTATATATTATATATAATTATATATTATATACAAATATTTTATATTAACAATATATAGATATATCATATACAATTATTTTATATTAATTTTTTTCTGCAGTATGACCCAATCTATTATAATTCAAATTGGTCAATGTGGTAACCAAATTGGTTATCGCTTTTGGGATTGTGCTGTTAAAGAATATGATAGTGTAAATAAGCTGTCAAACTGGAATCCATCACTATCAAGTTTTTTTTATAATTCTGAGAAAAAAATAAATCATTTTAAAACTGCTACATGTTTTAAAAGTTTAAAAGCAAGGGCTGTGTTAATTGACATGGAGGAAGGAGTAATTAATGATATTATGAAAAGTCCACTGGCTACTTTGTTTGAGCAAAAACAAGTCATTAATGATGTTTCAGGAGCTGGTAATAATTGGGCAGTTGGTTATTTTGACTATGGTAACAAGTATAAAGATCAAATTTCTGAAGTGATCAGAAAATCTGCAGAGCAATGTGATTGTTTGCAATGTTTTTTTTGCCTGCATTCAATGGGTGGTGGTACTGGATCAGGTGTTGGGACGTTTGTTTTGCGTCTACTTGAAGAAGAATACCCAGAAGTATTTCGATTTGTCACAGCTGTATATCCTTCAGAGGATGATGATGTTGTAACATCACCATATAATTCATTATTGGCTATGCATCAGCTTACTGAAGCAGCTGACTTTGTTATACCCATTGAAAATCAAGCATTGATAAATATTACACAAAATGTTTCTAAACATTCTAGTTCTAAAGTAGAAGTTCAAAAATCAAAATCGGAAAAACCTTTTGACAGTATGAATAATATTGTTGCTAGTTTGTTATTAAACTTAACAAGTTCTTCAAGATTTGAAGGCTCCATGAATGTTGACTTGAATGAAATATCAATGAACTTAGTTCCTTTTCCAAAATTGCATTATATAACAACTAGCATGACACCAATATTTAGTTCATCTTTAAATTTTGTTCCAAAGCGAAACTTTGATCAAATATTTACTGATGCTTTTTCTAAAGAAAATCAGCTGTTGTGTGTTGATCCAAAAAGTTGCCTTTACCTGGCCTGTGCCTTAATGGTAAGAGGAGAAGTGGAGGTGTCAGATATTCGGAAGAACATTGATAAAATAAAACCAAAGTTAAATTTTATATATTGGAATCAGGAGGGTTGGAAAACAGGTTTATGTTCTGTACCCCCTGCAAATATGAAATCAAGTTTACTCACTTTAGCCAATAATACTTGCATTCATTATACTTGCATGGATTTACGAAATCGCTTTGTAAAATTATATAAAAGGAAAGCGCATTTACATCACTATACACATGTATCAGGATTTGAACAAAGTTTGTTTGATGAAAGTCTTACTTCAATTGACTTGTTAATTAGTGAATATGAAAAATTAGAAGCAACTTCGAAAATCCCACCGCCATGTTTTGAAAGACTAAAAGTTTTTTGAAAGACTAAAAGTTTTTTGCTAATTACATTTATTATATAATTGTATATCTTTATTATTTTTTGAACTATAAATAGTTAAGTATCCTGAGTTTATGTGTATGTTTGGTTTAGGGAGGAGTGTTTAAAACTGGTTTAATTTTTTTTTAGTTTTAATCAAAAAGTACAAATTTCAAACAAACACACAAATTTCATAAACTTTTTTAGAATTTATGATAATATGGTTTTATTTCCTTTGTAGATATCTGCCACAAGGATTGTTTTATTTTTATTATAAAAAAAGTTTTATTATAAATGTTTAAATGTTTTGTTTTTTTTTAATTTTCCTTTGTTTAATTAAAAGCATGTTTATAATGTTTATTTGTTTAATTTTTTAGTATTTTAATTACATTATGGATGATTGCTTGTGTCCTTTATGTTCAAACAAACTAAAAGAACCTTATATTCACTGTGAAGAATGTGGTTTAGAGCTGTGTTTAAAAGTTAGTTGTTTTTTTATTTTGTTTTTGTTTCTGTTTTTATTAGAAAAAGGATCAGTTGATCATTTGTCAAATTTTTTTTTTTTTTTTTTTTTTTTTTGTTTAAATAATAAGTTTGTTTTGATTTAAAGAAATTTATTTTTATGAAAACGTATTTCTATAAAAAAAACCATTTAATTTTTTTTTTACTAGTGTTTAAATTGAAGTTAATTCTTGTAAGAGATAAATTTATTTATATAAATAAATTACGCAACGCTAAATTTATTTTTAAAATAGAAGTTGGATATCTTAACTTAGTTAATGAGCAATTTTTATTTTTTATTTAAACTAAGGCTCTGCGAGGGAAAACTTTTTTTCTTCTTTGTTTGGTAATTAATGAAATTTAGCTTATGTAATTTATGGACAATTCCTAAGGGTGTTTTAAAAATATTTATTTTGCGGTTTGCAATTGAAAAATATCAAAAGTATAAATATCAAAAAGTAGAAATTAGAAAATGAATAATTCTAATTTTTATTTTTTTGATATTTATACTTTTGGTTTTCACTTTAGTTATAGCATTTTATTTTAATAAAGTAGAGTGCCATAATTAAAACAAAAAGAAAATCACTTGAATGAGATTATGATTAAGCGCATGTTATCTGTAATTCTAAAGAATATTTGCCATAGTTGCTACTGTTTGGGTTTTGGCATTTTAAAGCACAGTGCTTAAGTTAATTTGAATAAAATATTTTTGACACTCACCTTCATTTAAACTGAAACAGGGGGAACTATGACATTTAAAATTGAAAGAAATATAGGCATAGGTTGAATATAGTAAGTGCTTAGGATAATAAGTCAGGAAAGATTTAAATGGTATAGATATGTAAACATTGTAGGTAATGTACCTTACCTACAAGATATACCATAGATATGTACTAAAGTTTTATTACCACAGGCACACAAGCATATTGGTTAATGGTATAATAAAACTGCTGTTATTATAGTTCAATTAGTTGTGATTCATAAAATGCAAGTTTATTATTAAAATGTTAGTTTAATAATGAGAATCTGGTCAGCACTTTTTTGTGCCCTTTTAAAAAATTACAAAAAAAGGCATCTGCATGGCTCTTCAAAGGAAATAGTTGTTTTAAGTTTGTACCTCTTGCTTAGAACACAAGCACTTAACCGTTACACAAATATCGCATTGCTGTAATCCTATTGTTATCAAATTAAATCTAGTGCAGGCTTGGTTGGGAAGCGGGTGTGATCGCACTCGATATCTGTCCACGGAAATAATATTTATTTACGAAAAACCGGCCAGATTTTTTAGCCGTTTTGAGATCATTCAAGTTTATGTATGTTTCCTTGTTTGTCCGCAAAATAATAAGTTTATTATTTTATCGTAAGTTTTAAAATATTTTGTTTTATGGACATACATGGAAACATACATAAACTCAAATGTTCTCAAACATCTTTGTGCGGAAAAATAAAAAAATAAAATTCGCGAACACAAAAATCCCGCCAAATCTACGAACAACAAATTCTATTAGTTCAAAAATACTGACCGAAATTTCTAGAGTATTCCAAAAATACTAACCAAATGTTCTTGAGTATTCTGTTGAAATATTTTAACAAATTCTATTATTTGAGTTTTGTTATGTTTTTGTTCAGATTTCTAGCATAAATTATTTTAAGAATATACTATCAAACGCACTGTTACTTTAATTCTCGGAGCCACATCTGCAAAGCTATAAATGTTTTAAACTAACATTATTTGTTTACAAAAATAAATGTTTTAAATTTATAATTCTTAACTTGTCAACGTTTTGTAAACATAATATAGATTTTATTAGTATATTCTTATTTTTTATATAAAAGGGATGTATTTTTTATGTATGTAACATACTTTTATGTATGTAATGTATTTTATGTATGTATATTTTATGCAAGTAATTTTATGTATGTGTATTTTATTCAAATATAATCTTTTAAAGCAATTTGTGCAATTGATTTTGTAAACAAAAATACTTTCAATAATAACTGCGTTTTCAAAGAAATTATTAATAATCATCCAAGTTAATACAAATAATTTTAAACACTAATCCATTTTCCTTAGTGTACTGATAACTGATTCTTTCCCACAAGAAAGAAAAGTTTTTAAGTTCTTAGAAATTAGTTTACTAATTTCAATTATTTTTGCTTCAGCAATTCTCAGTGCCGGATCAAGGGGGGGGGATCAAGGACTATAGCCCCAGGCCGCGCAAATTTAGGGGACCCCAAAAATTTTAGAAGACCTTTTTTTTTTTTTGTTTTTTTTGTTTTTGTTTTTTTTTCTAGTCAATTTTAGGCTCTGGTCCATAAAAAGGCCTGCAAAAACAAAAATAGCCCCGGGCCCACTCACTAAACATCATCAGCGGTATTGTGAAGCAGTTTCGCTTCCTCCTCACAAAGTAATTTAAAGTTTTTAGTTAATTTCTAGCTAATCAAGTTTCTATAGTAATTCAATGATTTAATTAATTCATT